TGTGGAACCAGGTGGCTGCCTGTGTGCCGCAGGCTGATTCTGCATGTTCCGCATGACTTGCGACCTCAGTAGGGCGTATGCAGACCTGCCTGTCTACAGTGGGCTGATGGCAATGTTATATTTATTTAAAAAATTGATTTAATCAAAAGTGATTTTACTTAAAATTATATTCTGAGGACTTTTCAACAGGTACAGATATATTTCCCAAGCCTGGTACATTTGAGACCCTTGTGGAACACCTGGCTGTGTTCTCATTTACAGACCTGGGGAGAGGGGAGGGCAGAGCCATCGGGATTTCAGATATACACACAGTAAGGTTAAGAACAGGGTTAAGGAATTTCACCTGTGTGCTACTGTGGCTTATATATGCCCCAAAACATGTAAATTCATAAGCAACTATAGCATTGACTCAATATTTATGATAAAACTTTATTTTTCTTTTCTATGACTTTCTTACTTTGCTTATGTGTGACTCTGTTATGTTTGTACTAATTCTGAAACATGCTCTTGGTATAATATAGTATTTCATTTTTTTATAGGATACATTTAACAAAGCCTTTTTAGAATGACCATCTTTTTTTTTCACTTCTCAACTTTGAAACAGGAGATGTCTTTTCGTAATGAAATGGTTAGTTCTTTCATCTAATGAGATAATTTGTGCATTAAGAAGAGTAAGACTATGAAGTCAAAGTTTATTAGGAATGGAAATGGGTGTCTGGTGATGGTGTTCTTTTTCCTTTCTGTCTATGTGAATTTTCCAGAATATTAGGTGGTCCAGCTGCTGCTTTTGACTTTCATCTGTAAAACCCCTGTATTGCTTTGAAGAACTGGACATGCTAAGATTATATGGCATGTGAATATTTTAGAAGTATCATTTCCAGTGGCAGGATATAAAGTGTCATTAAATAAAGAGGACAGCTGTGGTAGAGTCTGGGCCTCTGTGACAGACCACTGAGTCCACATAGCAGTTCTGGGCTTTTTTGTATGATGGCTGGTCAGTTACCTTCCTATTCTGAGTCCTCTCATCTGTTAATTAGAAACAATGCCAACTATACAGAATTTCAATGAAAATGAGGGAGATAGTGAATAGAGGCACAAATCATAGTATCTGGTATGAAACAGTATCTTATTATTAATAACAGCCCACAAGGTGTGATTGAAATATATGAGGAATATTTAAATTGTTCAAAAATGTTTTACAGTCTACCCCTGTGAAGTCTCAATTCAGAGTCTGTAGTCTCAGCCATTTGGGGATTTTCCTGATAAAGTAACTAATAATTGTTCCCAGCTGATTGGTTGCTTCCCTGTAACCCATCTCTAGAAGATGCACCATAATTCCTACATCATAACAGATTGCTGACTGCCTGTAGCTGTCTTGAGTGTTCTCAGTTTTCTTCTTATTAAATCCCTGAGATGCTGCCAAAATGCCCTGAACCTTCTAGGGCTTTGTTCATACAGTATTTTATTTAATTAAATTATATAACTGTGGGAAACATGGCATATTTTGGGTTTAAACTATAAAAACAGGCATGGGCATTTTTCTGACCATATCTGAAATCGTCAATTTTTTGTAATTCATGGGTGCTCTGGGAACATAACCCCAATGAATTTCACCAGTCTACTGTGTAGTATGTGTTAGGCACTTTTCTCATTGCTGGGACGAAATACATGACACAACTGAAAGAGGAGAGATTTATATTGGTTCACATTTCAGTCCATAGTCTGATGGCTCTAAGGATGGCATGACAGAGGGGTACGGTGGAGGGAGAACTGCTCACCTCATGAAAGGAGGCAGAGAGAGAGAGACAGAGAGAGAGGTAGGGGGGAGCTGGAGGGAGAGATAACCTTCTAGGGCTCCACCCCTAACAGCATGCCAGATATGATGCCACAGAATCTAGTAACTGCCAAACACAAGAGGCTTTTGGATCCATTTTAGATCTAAACTACACCACAGTAAATGACATTGCCATTTACCACTCTGGAAACACCACCTTCTACTTGGAACACACTTATCCCATCACTCTTACCACTCTCTGAGGCACTACTCAAAGTCTTCTTTTGTGAGTATCTTTTCATGGCTGCCTTGATAGCCTACATCAAAACATGTAAATTTATGTTCAATAGAAACATAGTATGTCTGCATTCACTTTATTCACTGGATCTGGTTCCACGCAATGTATGGCTTTTATCCAAGTCAAAATGACTGTGAAAGATGAATGCTGTCAATGGATTCAGGGCACTGAGACAGCCAAAACAGTGCAACTAAAGACATTCACAAAAGAAGACTTCCAGAAGATGGCAGGAACAATTAGGATAAATGTGTTTGAGCTGAGAGTGAGAATTTTGAGCGGTATTCATGACAGTGTGTCTTTTATTGTAATGATTTATTTTAATTTAAACATTTGCTATATTTTTAGATTACTCCTCATATTTATATACTTACTATTTCCCCATATACAGGTTTTTGCATTTGAGATATGTTTTAATTTTTGTATTGACTTGTTGTGTCCCTAACGAGATTTCTGTGAGCTCATATTTTCCCAATCGAAACTATGAGAAAATGGCCTATGAGACTATGAAAATGGCCTGTTAGTTAAAACATTTGCAAAAGAACCAAGATGGATTATGTAAATATGCAAATTTCCAATGATGAATGTCATTATATTGTATACCTCAAATGTACCAATATAATTAATTAAAAAATAAATAAATAATGTAGTGGCCTTCCAGTTCACAGGACCTGCCTGCAGCTTGTGCACTCAGGAGTTTTTCTGATGATGGATGCTGGAAAGAGAAAACAATGCCCCAGAGCAGCTCAACAGACTTAAAGGTATTCTCAAAGTGGACTGCAGTGTTTCAGTGAGAGATATTCAAGAGATAGCAGCTGGTAGCTCTCCAGCACTTCAAAGAGAAAATGCAATGTTTGATGAAGGATAGAAAATATGTGAAAACGGAGAAGGACAGAGAGAGAATCAGAAAAAAACTTTTCCAGACTGCCAGAGACAGAGCCCAGAACAGGACACATGAGCCCCAGGCAGAGACAGGGCTGAGGGAAAATGAAAGGGAAGAGGGAAGGGGCTAGAGCAGGTGGCCAGCATCTTGAGGGCCCTGAGGTCCATCCCAGGACTGAAGAAAATCGTAACATACCAGAAAGGAAAAGCAAACAAAAGCTAGCACAAGAACCTTGGTCTCAGAAATCCTTAAAAACAAAAAATTGTCATATGGGACAGATGTTTGAGTACAGACCATATATTGGCTTCAGCTCCCCCTGAATGAAAAAAAAAATATTTGTTTTCATATTTTAACTTGGCCTTTTTTCTTTAATTCAAACCAAAAATGATGCTTCCAGTTCATTTGGGAAGTTGAACAAAATACTTTCTTGAATGAATGGAAGCGATACTAGATGCTGCCCAGTGGCCAGGCATTACGAGGCACCAAAGTCCTGTCAGATTGAATGTGGCTGTGTTGTGTGTTCTTAACCACTTTGTAACTGTAGTGAGTAGAGATACAAGAAATGATATGCCAAAAAAATTGAGTTAACTCAGGTTTTGTAAAAGCTATCACATAATCATGGTACTTAAAAATGTATTATCAGTGTTCCATGTCTTATAAATAGTACTTTTTGGAATTTTTATTTTGTATGATTCAGGATAAAAGATGCTTTTTGTATATTAAAAATAAAATAGTGAAATAAAATAAGAATGAGAGATAGTGTGGATCAGTTTTAATGTTTGGAGGAAGTTGTGTGTTTTAAACTGTGACCTTTTATTTCCTTTTATAAATATTTTGACTTTTTAATTTTATTTGATAATGGCAAATTGATGAGGGGTGTACTATGAAGCAACATACTTTTTAAAAATCCTCAAGTCAAATCTTTAGCACTTTTATGGCCTAATGAAGCCATGGTTTTGTAAGTGGGAGAGAGTCATGGAGATCACCCCCTTTCCAGCTCACACTTTAGTGGGCAACAAAACCTACCTGATGTATACCTTTCAATTTGTGCAGAGACAGAGATGGAGCTATGAAGTAAGATGTAAGCATAAAGTTCTGTTCCCATGGTGTGCTTGTGGTCATGATATGTTCTTTCTTAAGAGCATGGGAAATAAATGATTATATGTAAAATTATACAGGGTCATGAAGGCATTTTTATTTACAGTAGAATTTATGATATGACAAATTCCAAGCACTGGGGGTAAAATGAGATTTGTTAAAATCAAAGTATATTGTATACATATTTTAAGTCACTATCAGAAAAGTTACCCAGATGTGGTGGCACACCCTTAAAATGCCAGCACTTGGAAGGCTGAGGCAGGAGGATCACTGCAAGTTTGAGGCCAGCCTGGACTACATAGAGTGTTCAGGGCCAGCCTGAATTACATAGTGAAACCCTATCTCACAAAGCCAAAAACAAAACAAAACAAAATTATAAGAAGGAAAGAAAATTTTGTTAAAACATTTGATTATCTCCAAACTCTTTAGTCTTAAAAATTTTCAAGTTTATAAAAAAAGGACTAGTTCAGTGATAATATGAAAATATATGCTTTCTGAGTCCACTAATGCCAATGGAGTTGTAATTAGAGGTTCTTATTGACTTTTCCCTTTTGTTCAGAAAAATATGTTCTAAAAATTACTAAAAATGTTTTACTCAGCAGTTAGAAGGAATGAAATCATGTCATTTTTTACAAAAAGTTAAGTGACATTAGCCAGACTCAGAAAGTTAAATATCTTATTAGAGAAATGAAATACATAAATACTGAAACAGAAAGGAGACATGTCAGGAAACAGGAAAAGAGGAGATAGCTTTTGGAGACAGGGAAGGGCATCAGTGGGAGGAGGGAGGAGAGGGAAAAGGGGTGGGTGGAATTGAAAGTGGTCAGGATACATAAAATGCATGTACAAACTGGCCAAACAAACCACACCATTCTGTAATATTAACAAGCACTAATAACAATTAAAATGAAATAAAATATTTTAAAGTTTTTTGTCTTTATTTTTTATAGAGGGACTTTATTATTCTTACTTCAAGACCAGTATTGAAGCACCTTCATTTTTGGATGGCCTATGGATGATTATGCGTGACAGACTGATTGAATATTTCCTTGTAATTAATACAGTGAAATGATTCCATCTTTATCCAGAGGTAAGTGATACTGTGAGACAAATAATACATGTGGTGTGATTTTCTGCTCAGATAAAGCTACTAAATATGATGACAGTCAAAAAGTAGGGGACCTTTTTGGTTTATTGAATATAGATGTTCTTATAGTTGAGCAGAGTATTACAAAGTTCCTTTCTTCATATATAAAGGTCCCAGTGCCCATGTTCATGTGAACTCAAAGAATGAATGTTAGTATGGAAGTCATGGGCAGGGTAATAAACCAGCCAAATGGAAAGTGAGTTTTGAGCACTGAAGAGGGTTCTCCGTGGGTCAGTGCACCTTGGCTAACATGTGGGTAGGCACAGTGACCACATGAAGGGCCAGGGAAAGTGATGAGCAGACAGTGACCTTGGAGATACATTAGTGAAGGGAGGTGGAAAGGGCTGGAGGTGGAGCTCAGTGGTAGAGGTTTGACCCACAGCACTGATGGCAAAAAGAAACAAAAGATTTATTTAGTCCCATAGTGCTTGACCTTAAAATGTTTTTTATAGAAATCTGTGAGTTCTAGAGATTTGAAAATCAACAACAGATTAGTAAATTGTAGACATTTAAAGATGGAATTTTCATGGTAAACACTAATTTTAAGCTTAAAGTTACCTCAGAGTACAGAATATTAATTGAAAATTACTACTTTTTAGTCTTTTTCATATTTAATAGGTTTAAATTATTTCAGTTTTGAAATGTTGAAGAGTATAGAAACTTAGACAGTGTTCAACTATTTGTGATCAACCATCTAGAATAAGAAAATGTTAATCTTTTGTCATTTTTGCTCCAGAGCTTTACAATAACTTAAACATTTGAGTAACACCAAAGTCAGCTTTATTTATCTTCCAGGCTCATTTGCTTCTTTCCTCTTCCTACAAAGATGCCTTATCATAAATATGTGTGGACTCATCTGGTCCATTTTCACGCATGGTTTGACATGTTTTAAGTCCTCATAAATCCTTTCATACTGAATGTCACTCTACAGCATTTTCCTCAGCATTATATTTTTGAACCTTGTGCATGTATGAGTATTTATTTCTTGAATTTTAACCATTTAATGAATGCCAAATTTTATGTCTACATTTCCTTATGTGTAGACAGCAAGTTATTTCTAATCATCCTATCACCAGCAGTTCCAAATGTAGGTTCCTGTAGGTGCTTCCTCATGTGCATGGGCAGGAGTTTCTCTTGGCCAAGTACCTAGAGGGACAGTTGTGGTAGTGAGTGCTTTGTGATCCTCACCAGATGTTGCTAAATTGGTGACTCTAGCAAATGTAGTGGCCCATATTAGCTCTGAAATCATGAGATCTTATGATTTAGTTTTTATTCTTTTGGTGGTTGGGTTATGCTTCCTGTTTAAGTTTGTAATTCCCTCATTATGTGTACAGTTAAACATACTGTCACATTGAGGAGAGATTTGGATTTTTTTCTACCAGTAACCTACATAAATCTTTGTCATCTATTGGTGATAGTTTTCTTAATGATTTATTGGCATAGTTAGTACATTTTGTATACTTTTTAGTAATCTGTGCTGAGCATGTCTTCCCACTCTGACCTCTTTATTTTCACTCATTCATCTTTGTTGAGCTATAACTTACATACAATAAAATGTGCTTGTGACAGTATATAATTATTACCACAGTCTAGTTACAAAACATTTTCATCATGCCAAAAGGTTTCTGTGTGATCCATTGTAGTAACAGTTTTCCTCCTTTGCATTGTCTTTTCACATTTGTCTGAAACTGATTGAACATCCTATGTGTGGATCCATTCCAGAACTATATATTGTAGTAATCTGTATGTCTGTATTTATGCCCAAACTGTGCTCTCTTGATTACTATAAGGAAAATACTGAAAGTACTTCTGCAATTTTGTATTTCCTTCTGAAAATTGTTTTTAGTCAGCTTATAAATATCTCCAAAAAAATTTTTGCTAAAATCTTAGGATTACATTGGATTTATAAACGTTTTCTAGAAGACTTGATATCTTAATTATAATCCATAATCATGGTATAGATCTTCATTTCTTCAATTATTTTTATTTGTCTCAGCAATGTTTGGTACTTTTCAATGTACAGTTGTCCCTAACTACTTTTAAAAAAATTTCTTATAACTCTTATTAGTTAAACTTTTTTAAATTTTCCTTTTTGTTCTTCTGGTATCATCAAGTTGGTTTTGAATATTGACTTTATACCTGCATCTTGAAATCATTGAGTTGTTTAAGGAGTTTTTTTGTAGATTCCTTTGGACTTTCTTTTGTATATGATGATGTTGGCTTTAAATAAAGGCAAATTTACTCCTTAGTTTCTAGTACATGTACTAGAAGATATTTTACAGCAGCTTTATCCAGGTGTAATTGGCATATCATAGCTGGTCATGTTCAAAGTATACAGTTTGATTTGTCCTGGCACATACACCCACTGGTGAAGCCATATTGCCATCCAGAAATGATCCTGTCCATCATGCCAGGAGACCCTTGTGCTCCATGGTAATCTCTTCATCTTGGTTCTCTGCCCAGATCCCATCCCTGGGAAACCATCAATATGCTTTCTGTCAATATAGTTCAGTTTGCATTTTGTAGAATTTTGTACAAATAGAATCATAGAAAAGTTCTGTGCCCTGGTGTTCATTTGTACAGTTGATCAACTGGTGGCACAGAGAGGCCAGTGCATTTGAAAGAAGTTGTTACTGACTTTTCCCTGGGGAAGGGAACACCCTGTGCCATGCAGGGACACAGGGGAAATACCAGAACCAGAAGTAGGGAGGAAGCATAAGCCAGAGCTCTTGTGCAGGTTCTCTGGATCAGGCGAACCAGGGCAAAGTAAGAAGCTATCAGCAAAATCAAAAGACACCTGAAAAACTTGGAGAAAATATTTGTAATACATATCACAAAAGAAGGTCTAATCTAGCTAATTTATAAGGAACTATTAGTTTTTCTGGTTTGGAAAGCAAGAGAGCTGGGAAGCTCTGGGAAGAGTGACACCCTCATCTCTACCAGAAGAAAGGAACTGCACAAACTCTAATTTAATGCCTTTTCTTGTACCCATCAGAAACCTGAGGTCACAAAGAACCAACACAAAATTCTGAGCGGGACAGGTGACTATGAAGAGAAATTTTACCTGAGCAGTCAATCAGGTAGAATAGATTTTGCCAAATGCCACATAAGCCAGCAGGAAGATTAAACTAGAAAATTTTAATGAGCTAGTAAAGGCTCAGTGTGAGCTAATGGAATATGCAAAGGCCCTGTTATCCCAGGCTTTCTTGGGGGAAGAGGTGCAATTCTCGAGAACGGTTTCCCTGTGTGCTGGTGAGGGGAAGAAACAGCACTGTCCACACCCCATCAAACCCATGTCCACAAATTTTAAAAACCCATAATCTGTGGGGAAAAAGTATCAAAGTCATAGTTTAAAGACACTGGTGAGTACTCAGTCCAGCTAGTAGTAGAATACAGCGAGAAAAATAATAAATTTTAAAAGCAGCTGCATCCCTAGAAGAGGGGTAGGGCCGCCTGTGAGGTCACACCTGCAAGCTGCCCAAGATGAAATCCTCTCACCCCTGTCCCTAGTACTTCATTAGTGAGCCAGGGATAAAAATATCATGAAATATTGCTGGGTGAGGTTTTGCTTTTTGGTGCCGGAGACACACTCTACCAATGAGGTATTCCTGGGTCCACATTGGATAACGTATGAAGGACAGTTTCTTTCTAGGCAGAGGCATAAGGGGGAAAACTCAAAACCAAGCTAAAGGCAAGGTACCATGAAAATAAATTCAAATCCCTGGTATCCATTGCAACAGCAAACTCCGGTTTGCAAATCATAGGAACAACAGACTTCAAACCCACTTAGCTAATGGAAAGGACAATCCTGGATAGTGAGACCAGGATCAAGGTCCTGGCAGGGTGGGTTGTCTGGTGAAGGTGCCATCTGCATTCAAGGTGGCACCTCAGTGTCATCCACTGGGGACAAGGAGCACTGTCTTTGGGTGGCAGAAGGCAGAAGAGAAGTGACCTGTAACCTGCATGAAACCTCTTTTGTAAGAGCCTTAACCCTTTCAAAAAGAAGAGACATCAATCTCCACCTCTTCCTGCCATCTCACTGGCCTTAAATTTCCACCTGAATTTTACAAGAGAACCATCAGGCCTTTGCATTGCCCACTGGTGTTTGTGCATCATCAGGCTCTTGAACTTCAAATCTGAGAAAATGAGCTGGAAAGAGAAGCCCAGGGAATTTGTAACCCACGTTTTTTGTTCCACATTTTCTTTCTCCTCTCCAATTTCCAAGAGTTTCCTTATGCTTGATTTTATATAATACTAGAGTTTTAATTTGTACTTGGAAGGAATAATAGGAAATGGTATACATATTCCATCTCCCCAAAAGCAAATATTCACGTTAATTATTTATACATTTTTTTCATTTTTCTTCAGTTCAAAATATTTTCTAATTTCCCCTGTAATTTTTCTTTTCTTTTTTTGTGGACAGTAGTCTTCATTGACACACATATATATATATGAACTAGTAGTGCCCAGTTTCTATCTCTTTCACATCTCTTTCTATCTCTTTCTTTCTTTCACATCTTTCCTTTTGTAAGTGGATGGAATTATTTAACACCAGCTTGATGGAGGACAATTAGCCCATTACATACACTAAACATTTAGATCAAGTCATTGGGTAGTGTGAAAAACTCTGTAAAGATAGGAAGCCCGCACACTCAATTCAAACTTGAATATGTTTTTGAATATTTTTTCCTGTCTTTAAATAACATGTACTTAATTGTGAAGCAGCTATTTGTTTTTTAATCAGCACATTTAGGGATCCATTATAGGACTGCTTAGATAGTTCAGGTGAAATGGTTATAGAAATGGAGGCAGTGTCATCTCAGAAAAGTCATTTATATATCAAAATCTATTTTGATATCTGAAAGTTTACAAAAAGGCTGAATTCTTCATGCTAATTTTGCTTTCTATAACTCAAGCACTCTTTTCTTGGTTATTCATGAATGTAAAGGTGCTTAATGCTAAACATTTCTTCTGAGCTTGGATTTGGATTAAGAATCTGATACCAAAGAAACCAGCATGGTCTTTCTACATTTTCACTAAGGTTAGAATCCTATAGACTCATTCACCAACCATCTTCCTTTTAAAAATTTTTTCTTGGCACTCAGTTAAGACTGCTGAAGCCAGATTATTTGGGGATGGAGAAGTGATGAACAGAGTTCAGTTGATTTGGTGTAGCAATAAAGGCTCAGTTATCATTTCAGTAAAGTGAAGTATAGATGACAAAAGCTATGTTCCTCATTCCTGGTTCAATTTTCATTACACTATTTTCTCTAAAAATCATTTTGGGTAAAAATATTTGCCTTGTAATGCCTACAAAAAAGACAGATCATTACATGATACTAATATTTATTTGTAAATACTAATGAGATTATTTTACAGAATTGACAACTGTTTCTGGATAAAGTTTTTAAAAATCCAGACTGGTTTATAATAACATTGAACTCTGGGAATATAAACTAAATCTATAGTTCTTTCATATTTTTATTGACTCACTTGGGTGACCTTGATAAAATCTAGAAATAACATTGACAGAGGATGCTTAATGGACAATTGGACTTTTTGCTTGTTTGTTTATAACATCAAGGAATGGAGAAAATACTTAGGAAAATGAGAGAGTTGGTAATGACCCAGTCAGGTAGAAGTTATTGCCTTTTCTGAGGGATGAAAGTGTCATCTTGATAGGGAGATAGAGGTATTCCTAAGTTCCCAGTAAGTGACAGTTTAGAATTTGGCACTTGATTGTAGCACTGGCCCAGTGGACATGGGCCTTAGCCTCATAGAGTGCATACTATGAGAAGGCTCTTAGCAGTTACAGCTGTGATGGACATGACCAGTTGGAAAAGAAGGTTGTCAAGAGAAGAAGTATTTCAAGAGTATGGAGCAGCACATTCAGAAGTCCTGCAGCAAGGGGGCCCTGGGAGAAAACTGGATTCCTGAAACAGAGGGAGGGAAGGGAAGTGGTGTGACATTGTCCTGGGGGTGCCAGACAGGGGCCTGTCATGCTGGGCCATGTGGTGGGGAAGGCTTTTGTACTTTATTCTCTGAGGAACTTTAACAGATTTTTACCTTGAGCATTATTCTGGTGGTGGTATGGGAAGGGTACCATTGGGCTCCATGAGGGCCAGAGACTACTGTGCTCTCAGCACATGATTTCTGAAAAGAGAGAGCTGTGAAATGCCAGGCCTTAGGAAGCACCTTGGAAGTAGAATCAACAAGATTTGGTAACTGATGGGAGGGAGGGACCAGAAGGAAGAGTCCTGTAATTCTTGGTTTCAAACTTGAATAATTGAGTCCCTTGAACAGTAGGAAACATGACAAGTACATGAATTGCTGTGTTTAGATAGAGGTGTCAGAGAGAGATGTCACATGGCTACCAGGATAAATAACTTTAGGAATAAGAAGAATGTTTGGGTCTGAGTATAGACTTGGACCAACTCATCTCTATGTAGATGATCCGTGGAGCTAAGGAAGTGGAAGAATTTTCTTAAGGAGAATATGCAGACTGAGACAGGAAGAGGGCAGGTGACAGAGGCCAAGGAGATCCAGTGCTGAAGGAGGAGTGAGTAAACAGAGTGGTTATAGGACAGACTTGAAGGAGTGGCCAGGGAGGTGGGAGGGTCACAAGGATGACCTGCACATCTTAGCTCCAACCAGTTAGAAATGAGGAACTTTGGCAGGTTACTTAAATTTTCTATGATTTATTTTCTCAACCATAAAAAAGTTTTATGTCAATTAATCTCCTCCATTTTGCCTGAGCATTATGAGAAATGATGACTATAAAACAAATAAGTGCTCTACACACAATCTTATATGTAGGATATGTATTAAGATTCTAGCTGTCCGTAATAATGGATCAGATAGCTCAATCATCTCATGCAGACTAAAGCTGCTTCTTGAGGTCAGAATCTGTATCTTACTCATCTCAGAGCCTAGAAAAGATAAAAACAATGCAAAGGCTTTCTCTCACCAACTTTTTCTCACCAACTGGCTCTACAGATAGTTCCAGACACGGAGCAATGGCAGCAACACCTTCGTTAATGTGAAACCCCAACAATTATATCTCAGCATAAGAATACTGCATTAGGAGAAAGTATAAATGTAACCAAATAATGCATTCTAGGGGCTGGAGATGTGGCTCTGTGGTAAGAGCCCTTACCTAGCATGCACAGGGCCCTGGGTTTGATCCACAGCAACACACTTAACCACACACACACACACACACACACACACACCCTCACACCTTATATATGGGTAAAAATTATTGAAACTATTAAAGGGAGCATCAGTCTGAAAGCAGATGCTTTTGGCAAATTCATGAGCTCTTGAGTAAGAAGTACCAGGATTATTGTGCCCTTTTCCTTTACAGTCGTTTGTTCACTAAATAGAGAATAATTTGTCTTTTCAAGAATTGGGAGTCCCTGCCTGTTCTGTGAGTGTGATTTTTATCTTAAATGGACTCATGATAGGATATGCTGCATACCTGAGTTAAGACACTGAACTAAAAGATCAGACTGAGCTTATAAGGACTTGTTGATAACTGTTGATTATATGAAAAGGAGAATAAATGAGATTAGTTGACACTGAACTGAAAGATCAGACTGAGCTTATAAGGACTTGTTGATAACTATTGATTACATGAAAAGGAGAAATAATGAGATTAGTTGATTAATAGTAGGAGCATTTGTAGATTTATATGATTTTTCAGTGTGATGCAACCAAAAACTAGGAATGTCACTGGAAGAATACCTTAAGTAAGGCCTCCTTTTGATCTTCATGGGAATATTTTTAAACTAATCTTTCTCAGTAAAAGTTTTAATGAAAATACTCATCTTCCTATGTAAAGTTATTGCAGCATTATAGGGATCTCTCACATGCATTATTTCATTTATTCTGATGAATGTGGGGTTAAGAAAGCTACAAAACAACTATATATCACATGTAGCAGACATTTATCTTTGTTATCCTTTCTTGATAACAGTACCACAACTTTGGAGAAAGTGTGCCCAATCCCAGAGGATAAGTTGAAGTCAATTGTGAGAATCGTGTCCTTTGCTCCCAGTCTCTTTTGCTCTTTGGGAGAACCACAGAAGCTACTTTTTGCCAGTGACAAATAAGTGACCTAGGAAAATATTTGGCTTTCTCACCAAAGGATAGATTCAGCTGTCCCTTCTCTATTCCTTCCTGCTTCTAGTTGGACATGGTGCCTGGAGCCACAGCAGTCCTCTTGTGGCCATGAGGGAAAGTCCATCAAAATAGCAGACGTATCTAGCCTAACATACTCATGCTGCTGAACCAGTACCAATAGACAGCTATCTTTTATTTTTTGTTGAATGATGTAATAAATATCCATATGGTCTAAGCCACCTTTGACAGAATTTTTTTGTTTCTCTCAATGAAATATATTCCTAAATCTCCAGCTTTCTTTACAATTTTATTGATGAAATTCAAAACATTTAAACTTAAAAATCTGATTTAATTGTCCAACAAATATTTACTAAATTTTCATAGTGCTTAAATCAATATAGAGGTTGATATTTATACACACATCTTGGTTCAGGGAGTTTTTAGCATAAAAGGACATGCATACAATCAGTGAAATCTAGTGACATATTTAATATTGTATCCAGGACCCTCTCCAGTACAGTAGGGTAAAAACAAAGTATAAGGCTTCAAAAACTTGACAAAAGAAGTGTATTTTTTAAAAAAGGCATTTTGGATTGTTGTGTATGTAGAAATTAAAACAACATAATAAAGTATTTGAATCAATTAGGCAATTTATGATGGTTCCTGAACATAAAACTTAGTACACAAAATCACAAATTCTATACTCTAGAATCAAGCAGAAAGTATAATTTTAAAAAGATGCTATTTAGAATAGCATTAAATCCTGAGGTTCCTCAGGATAAATCTAGCAGAAGGTATATATGACCTTTATGGGAAAACTATCTGAAGTTTGTGGTGGTGCATGTAAGAAAATCTAAATAAATGGAGAGATATACCAGGTTAATGAGTCAGAAGGCTTACTATTAAAAGATGAAAGTTGTCCCAAATTAATTGAAAGACAAAAATCTTCCAGTCAACATTCTGTTATGATTTTGTTTATCCCTGTGAGCTGATTTCAGTTACTCAAAAATGTGAAGGGCCAAATATAGGTAGAACATGTTTGAAAAGATAAAACTTCCTTTATTGATTATTGCTGTACCATAATGCTAATGTAAATAAGACAGCTTGCTAGACAAATTATAGAGGGCAGAGGCAGAAGTACACATTTAAAGACACTTGGTGTATGATGAGCAGATACTGCATACCAGTGGGTAAGGAGAGACTTTTCAACAACTAGTGTTGAACGTGCATATTTATGGTTATACTGCTAATCTCAGGATGAGGAAAACTGCTGTCTCTGGAGTGTCCAGTGGGGACTCAGAGTGTAATCTTTTCTGTATTTCAGTTACTTATATGGTGGCTATGTGAATGTTCACTTTATAATTGCACTATAAACAAGAGATTTTATATACTTTTCTAGAGGCCATATAGGAAGACTTTGGAAAGATTGCTTTGAGTAGTTTTGTCAGTCTTCATTGTTCTATTTCAAAAAATTGTACTAATTTCTTTTTAGTGTGGAAAACATTACACAGCTACAACTAAAAATTTAAAATCAGTGTTTTTCATTAGGAGGGCCACCCAAGAGTGCATGGCCTCTCTAAATTGGTTACACAGTTCTGGAATATCAGATCATTACTAGTCTCCAGTCTTTAAGAAGGATGTGTGTATGTAATCAATATGTCATAAAAATGTCACCAATACTGTGAGGAGATTGGAAATGAACACATATGAGAAAGAAAAGAAACAGCAATTTGGGACACTGTCTCTTTCAGTTCCTTGGGTGATTAACCATAAAATGTTAGCATGCACATTTAACTTGATTAAATCTAAAATGGATCCGTATCTTTTCCCTTCTGATCAACACAAGGAATCATAGCATGCTCTCTTGAAACATCCTCTCACATCTTACATGTCAGTACCACAGTCAGTACTCCCTTTACTCCTCCACAGCAGCCATATCATTATCACCGTCTTTGGGGGCTGCCAGATGTTTGTTTGTCCACATGTTCACAGCTCCTGTGTGCACAGGCTGTCCTTGCTTCCCAGCCTTCCTTCTTTCTTTGTTTCTTTCTTTCTGAGGTGCAGCCTTTGAATTTCCTTTCATGAAAGTCTGTTTCCTTACAATGAGCCCCTTCCCACTCACTAGCCTCTGCTTGTTGCTTTGCACTCCTTCCTTCCTTTCTTCATTCACCCAACTAGTGCTGGTACTTACTGTCTTCCAAGTGTGAAGCTGGGGATGCGGTGAAGCCTGAGACCCACAGAGAACCCTTCCCTGGAATGCAGTGACCAGGGCAGCAGCAGGGAGAGACTCTGCCCCAAAGGGGATGTGAGCCCCATGTCCCCACACACAGCAAGACCAGGCAGCTAGGAAATGGGTTGTCACTCTGCAATGGTTGTTAGCTGCCCTCGTTCACTACTGCTTTGTTAAGACTCAACAAGAGACTATGTACAGTCACTTCTGTTACTGGTAAACAAAACTGGTAGACTCTGCCTTTGAAATTCCATTTCAAAAGGCAAAATTGCCTCTGTTAATATTATTTAAAGAACATGGTACAGACTGAAGTGCTAGTCTGTTCGTTAAAAGAATTTTTTATACTGGAGATTGAATCTAAGATAATTTGAATTTTTGGTCCTCCTGCCTCAGCCTTTCAGAGAGCTGGAAATATAGTTGTGCACCACTGTGCCTGGCTTGTTAAAAATTATTTTATGTTCACAAATTATGTTTTACTTTGAAAATATTTTAAATGTAAAAAATTATAAAGTTCAGATTATTTGTACAACTTTGGAGCTTGTACTTTCCAGATGAAAACATGACTACCTGGGTACTTTTGAAATTTTTACTAGCATAAATTTTTATTATTATATTTAAAGTACAGAAAGCTAAATTCTGACATAATTTTTTGAAAAACTCACCTATTTTATAAGAATTATGATTGCCTACTGGTTTTTAAAGTGGGAGTCAATTAGGAGATCTAATTATAATACTGTGCTATTTTTTAATCATGGAGACTTTTTTTTCTAGAAAATAATTTTTAAGAAATAGAGGGGCTATATGAGAACAAGGAAATATGATTACTAAAACTGCATATTATTTGTGGATTGGAATATTTGAGAAAACCTCATGTTGTAGGTTGGTATTTTAATTGTGTTGATCTAATTTTAAATCATTAGAGTCTAAAATATACAAAATATCGTACTTGGATTTTAGGGAGTACTTAGGTATATGTAGTTCTGTAGAACAATGGAAAGACTGTACTTCAGGAGGGAGATAGCTTACATTATTTCATTTACTCCTAACAAATGGTTCCAACATGATTGCTGTCCTCACAATACACATTGTGACACAAGTTTATAGAAGTTAGGTTACTAACTTTAGATTCCACACTCCACCTGATGAAGCTGAGGCCCCAACCCACCATACAGGGGATTGAACTCAGAGCCTTTGCACTGAACAGTACATCCCAAGGCTGGGCCAAAACTTGTAATCCTTTGGCCTCCGCCACCCAGGGGGCTGAGATTACTGCAGCATGCCACCATGCTGTCCACTTTTCTCTTGCAAAAAGAAAAAAAAGAGGGGCTGGGGATTTAGCTCAGTGGTTCCACCGCCTGCCTCATAAGCACAAGGACCGGAGTTCGATCCCTGGTACCAAGTAAATAAATAAATAAATAAAAATTTAAAAAGAATAAAACAGCCAAGCATCATGGCACACACCTGCAATCCCAGTACTTGGAAAGCTGGGGCAGGAGAATCTACCTGAGTTTGAGGCCAGCCTGGACTATATAGAGAGTTCAAGGCCAGTCTGGATTATACATTGAGACCCTGTCTCAAAAAAAGCATAGATAGATAGATAGATATACATATGTATATAAATATTTTACATTGTGGTAAGGATCTGCCCTCTTAACAGGTTCTTAAACATTGCAGCTCAATATTATTAAGAAAATGTTGTTCAGTAAATCTCTAGAATGCATTCATCTTGCATAGATGAGACTTTATACCCTTGCACTTCTCCAGGGTTGGAAGCAGCCCTGGGGCCTGACCATGGGTAAAAAGCTGAGGCTTTGCCATCCACCATCTTGCTTGTTTCTATGTCATCTTGATGCAAAATGCTGAATTCAAAATAGAAATCAACTTACTAATTCATCACAAAGGAATATAATGCACCAACAAGAGGTCATGGAAACTTATATAGAATATGATGGAGTCACTGGACAAAAATATTACATATGTATAAACCACATGTCCAAATGTTAGACACTGAGTATATGACAGTCAGAGAGAGAGACTCCAACTTCTGCCTTTCAGAAGCAGAAAACACTGTGTGTAAATGCCACAAGTTATATTGGATAGAAGTCTTTATGTATTGCTAGTGGGTTAATTCTAAAATCAGATAAGGACATAATAAAAACTATGCCTCAAATGTTTTCAGTGTATTATTTCAACTTAAAGCAAACAAATCCCTTGTCATTTAATCTGTTGGCATAAAGTAAAAAAGCCTTGTGTTTGAGTGTGTGTCTTAGCTTCTTTCTCATTGCTGAGACAAAATACCTGATGGCCAAAGTTGAGGGAGAAAATGCATATTTCAACTCACAGTTTATAGGCATTTCAGTCCACAGTAGGTTGGCTCCATGGCACGGTGGCATGGCAGAGGGGCATTGCAGAGGAGGAACAGTTCTTGGGAGGCAGGAGACAAGAAAGCAGTGAAGTAGCCCCAACAGCAACCAAGCCTGCCTTTACATTTCATCCAGGCTACCTGCCCTTTGGGAGGTGCCACCCACACCCATGGTGGGGCACCTTTAATCCCAACATCACACACTTACACCTTGTGTCACATACCCTAGATCCAGCCATGTCTGAAACACCCTGCCTATGACCACATGAGACTTTGGGGGTACATCTAGTCACAAGCCATACCAGTATGTTAGACAAGTGGTGGTATCAATTAACTTTTTTTTGCTATTTTAATTCATCTTCCAAGTTTTACAATTTGAGTTTCTTAGTACTGTAAGTTTTTAAGACTCTTGCAGAGAAATGAGTTTAATTCTTTTGAGAATTTTAGATTGAAAATTTCATTTGACCCATGTTTTAGACATAGTCTTAATGTATACATGAATTTTTAACACTTACATTCTATACATCACATGGTTATGTTATATGCCTCACATGAGTGATTCTAATTCCAGTTCTCTTTTGAATTTACAGCTAACCCTTTTGAAGATGTATTGCATACATTCAGAGGTGACCTTGAATACTTGGGCCACCTGAAAATGTTACATGTGAATTCTTGATTTTGTGAATGCCCCAGGTGACACCAATTCATGTATTGTTGTAGACCAGTCTTGAGGTCACACTCTATAGGATGTCTGGGTCACACTTGCTGGGTCAGAGTGTGAATCTGCCCAAGGAATTCTCACAGTCCCTATCCCCGCCTTCTTGATTACTGCTGGGGCTTCTTGCTCCCATAGAGCTGGCACTTGTTCTGGGCTTGGAAGTTGGTCACTCTTTACTCAGTGGTCCCATGTGAGGAGCTCCAGAACAGAAGCTTTGCCTGGCTCTGAGAAGTAGGAACCAGTGGGACCAGGGTTAAGGTTCCCAGAGGAAGCCAACCCCTGTGTTAGGCAAATGATGCTTGCTGCTGTGGGCCTGACATGAACCCAGACTTTCCTTCAGGTCTTTTTTTTTTTTTTTGGTACTGGGGATCAAACTCCGGTCCTTGCACTTGCGCAGCAGGTGGTGAAACCACTGAGCTAAATCCCCCGCCCATCGCAGACTTTCATTTCAGGTCACTCATGTGATGTGGATGCCACTTCTCCAAGACACATTTGGTTATCTGTTCCTGGTGCTTCAGATGTATATTTAAACCATGATTCTCACGTAATTTTTCTGTATGCAACACAGCTAAGTAGATTACAGGTTAAATTTCTTAAAACTTGCTTTAACCTTTCATTGCCAAATTTAGGGTATGCTTTTTAGTTATTTTAAAAATAAAAAGAGTGGAGACAATCTGGAAATTACTATGCAAAAACTGATATCCATTTATGAGTTTAGGCTACATGTTTTAGATGACTATAATAAATCAAAATATACGTGTTCATATATGGCTTGCAAGGATTCAACAGCTTTTGAAAGATAATTATGCTTTTATTCTTAAGTTCTTTTATGGTTACATTTTAGGTATATAATACATTTACATTTATCATTATTTTTTGTTCAAAGTTTATGCAATGTGACTTATTGTTTTCCAGTCTGTGGTTTTTGTGGCGCTTTCATATATGTGCCCTGAAAAGTGCATAGAATTTGGAAAATACTGGGTTAGATAAGTGTGTGTGTGTGTGTGTGTGTGTGTGTGTGTGTAAATTCATTTCTGAATGATGCTTCTAGCAGTTCTACCTATTTTATTGCCACTGATTTTCTTGGACATATTTTTGGATGAATGAAGTTTATAGGCATTTCAGAAATTTAAGAATTCTGAGAATGTTAATGAGATCTCTCACTGAATGAAGCAACGATCAGTGTCTTCTCTAAAATCTCAGGGACCCATTGCACATCACTTATGTATCCTTGGCAGATCCATCTTCTGTCAAAATCATTTGTTTGTGTTTTCCTTCATTCTTTCCTTTTCTTTCTTCCTTTTTTCCTCCAACTATAAATTTGTGAATCATGAAAAAGTTTACAAATGTCTACATCTGCATTTTCATATATTTAAGTACATCCCACTGGAGAAAGAGACCATGCCCTACTTATCTCTAACCATAGAGCACTTAGCACCCTCCCCTGTAAATATTTGAGGTGCTTCTGAGGTACCTGATTAAATGGAGGTCAGTTTTGCATCCTGTGGAGGCCACAAGCATTAGAGAGGAGCACTCCAAGTCCTGATGTGTTACCTACCTGGCAAGTTTACTTGGGGGTTGCACCTTCATTTGGCTGTCCACTCCCTGTCCAGATTTCTACATTTGTTCAATATGTTTTCTCCTCTGAAAGAGTATGGTAAAGAAAGTTGCCCATTCCAACCTATTTGCCTTCATTTTCAGTTAAACTATTAGGAAGATATTACTAGGAATATTTTAACACCTGTGTAAGCTCTGTCACCTGCATATCCCTGAGGAGGGATGGGGTTAGAATCCCCTGGGAAGGAGAGCTCCTGCCTCACATTGACCTCCCTTTGATGGGAAGAGGAAGTACCTGCACATCTCTTGTGTTCTTGAAGGACCTGGTTGGAAGCTCATTGTGGGGTCTCCTTACCTAACAGCTTGGTGAAGGCCTTGTGGTGTTCAAGCAGCACTGACTACAGGCACTTCCTCTTTGGGGTCAAGTGGAGCCCACATGCCAGCTCCATGCTTCCTATGTGTTGAGGATCTGGGTCAGATTGCCCTGTGACTCTTATGATTCCTTCCTGGAACTAGACAACCCATCTCTCTTTCTCTTCTGGCCAGGGACTGAGATGAGAGCTGGGGCTTACTCTCCAAGCTAAGTAAAAAAACAAAAAACAAAAAAACCCCAGGAATGTCCTCCTCCTCATACCTCTCAGCTGCTAAGGAATAGTCCTTCTATTTCTTCTGCCTAGAGGTAGAAAATAGAGTGACAACTGAGGGACTATATCAAAAAGACATTGCAGGTCCTCCTGCAGCTCATCTTTAGACTTCCACAGTCTGTCTTCCTTTTCTAGCCAGAAGCCTGAGGACAGGCTGGGTGCCACCAACAGACCTCAGGAAAGAAACCAAGTTTGATTTGAAACCTCACTTTTTGGAGTTCAAACTTTGATCATCTAGCACAATGCCTTCTTCCCAAACTCAAAACTTCTTCCACTATTGTCTCCTTCAGAGTCACTTTTCCACATTTTACCTTTACTGTTTTCCATCTGCATCCAGTTCTCCCTGCCAGGTCCCTTGTTCCCTTCCCTCCAAACTCCTGCTGTAGACACATTATCACAGGTGTGTGGAAACTCTGCTTGAGGATCTGCTTTCCCTATGCATCCTGGGAACTCATCTCCTAACCCCTCCTGGATCCATGGCTCCACAGCTTTTCCATTGATTTGCCATCCTTGTCCCCCATCCTGTCTTTTTGTTACTCCCATCCCTGGCCTCCTTAATCCCTTCTTCCATTTAGAGCAGCTGCTCCTCCTGACTGTCTCTGACTGCTCACCTGATGGTTCTGGCATTTGGTCATAATCCCCCACTTCCAGGGTGTCTTCTGAAGAGCCCATCTGGAGCCCTGCTGTGCAGAGTGGGAAGACACTTGACAAGTGCCCATGAGTTCTTTCAAATACCTTGTTCCTCTCCACACAATCCAGACTCGGCTCTGTCCAAATTGTACTTTACCCACCCTGGGCTCTATATGCAAGTCGTCTTACCTCATCCTTCCAAATTCACAGGATGAAAGGCCAGCCTCTTGGGGATGTGATTAGAGTACTGGGCCACTGCACAGCACACTTTATTTGTTTTTCAGGGTAGACTTGCTTGATAGTCACAGCAAACATGGAAATAACAATGGGGATGTGTTCTGGGAAATGGAGATTTGCTTGAAATTGTCATTGTGCCAACCTCATAGAGTGATCACACCTAACTGTGACAGCTCACAGGGCAGGAGGTGATACCATCTTGTACAAGCACTATGG